GTTCACACACACACACACACACACACACACACACACACACACACACACACACACATGCGCGCGCGCGAATACCTGGGCCAAGACTGGAGGACACACAGTCTTTAAAGCAGCACTGACTCTAGAGAAGAAGCCATTTATTCAAACATTGTGGTGTGTTCTGCGGTCCCTTGCGGGGTCCCTCCCCAGGCAGCAGAAGTCCGGGAGACAATGATTGACAGTGTTAGCCGGTTCCGGCGACCTCAGTGAGGAGTACACTGGAGGCAAACTCTCCAGCTCCAGAACCAGACTGTCCAGGTTTAAATCCTGCGTCTCCTCTCAGGAAACCAGGCCTTGAACAAGTTACTCAATCTCCATGTTTCAGTTCCTTGTGTCTTAAGTGGCACTAATAATAGAACCCAGGATGGGATTGTTGGGAAAACGAAACCCTTCCCTTGGGTGATTAGTTGTCGCCCTTTCGTCATCTTGGGTCCACTGGGATGTTGGAGGATGGGGTGTCGCTCAGTGGGAGAGTGCTTACCTAGCGTGGGTGACCCTCCTCTGCGTTGGAAAGACAGAGACAGAGTCAGTTGAATATAACTGGCCCGCATGGTGGATGAACCTTCAGACTTCTAAGGGGGTGCCCATCTCCGCCATATAGGGAAGAGCATACGTAAATCGAACCACAGGATACAGCCAGGTGTCGTGGTACATGTCTACAACCCTAGCTACCCTGGGGGCCGAGGTGGGAGGACTGTGTGAGCCCAGTGTTTGAGATCAGCCTGGAAAACAGAGTGGGACCAGGGCTGGAGAGACGGCTCAGCAGTCAAGTGGTCTTGATGCTCTTCCAAAGTTCCAGAGTTCGGTTCCCAGCACCCACACCAGACAGCTCACAACTGTCTGTACCTCCAGCTCCAGGGGATCTGTTATCTCTGCTCTCTGGGGGTATCTGTGCTCAGAAGCACATACCCAAACACACGTATGTACACATAATTTATATATATATATATATATATATATATACATATACATATATATATGTATTTAGAGGAAGAGAGAGAGAGAGAGAGAGAGAGAGATCCTGTCACAAAAAAACAAAAACAAAGCACTGGCCAGCTGGCCCAATTTTTTTCATCCCAAACTATGATTTTATCAGACATAAGTGTCCACCAGACTGCCAGGAATCTATTGCATACCCCTCCCCTTTTTCTTTTGAGACCGGGTCTCACTATGTATCCCTGGCTGTCCAGAAGCTCCCTATGTAGACCAGGCTGTCCTCGAACTCACAGAGATCCGCCTGCCTCTGCCTCCGGAGTGCTGGGATTAGAGGCGGGCGCCACCAGGCCCAACTATATTTCCCCACTTCTAACCAGGCTCTCCAGCAATTGGAATCTTAAAGTGACTTGGTGCTCTGAGGCTATGTATGTAGCCAGAGAAGTCGGTCATGGCTGGCAAGCTGGCTCAGCCTGAGGTAAAGATGCTTGCGGCCAAGCCTGATGACCTGAGTTTGATCCCTGGAACCCACATGGTGGAAGGAGGGCACCCGCTCCACCAAGTCGTCCTCTGACCCCCACATTCATACATGCACACGCACAAACACAATACACATATAATCATATCATAAAGAAACTGACTTAAGGACGCAGTAACCACAAAACGAAGATAGGAGAATGACCTGTCTCGGTCCACTCCCGATTTAGAGCTTTTCCTGTGAACCCCACTAAATAAGGGGGTGCAGTGGTGCCCTGAGCTGAAAGCAGCAGAGATTCCTGTCAGCCCTGATGTCCTAGACTGGGTTCAGGAAGTGCTTAGCCCTCAGAACACTCCAGGGACTTGGCAGGATGGAACGTTTGGGTTTGTGTGTCCTTTGTTTGGAAGAGCTCGCTTCCTTTTGGGGCTATATTTAATGATTTGCCTCCCCGTGGTACTTGGTGGAGCTGTGTTTTGTGGAAAACTCATGACTATCTGTCACATTTGGAATCGAGAGAGAGAGAGAGAGAGAGAGAGAGAGAGAGAGAGAGAGAGAGAGAGAGAAAGGAGCAGCCTAAAAGACAAAATCGAAAGTAGGTTCTATTATTTCCCAAATTCATCAAGATTCTTAAATATGCTTTGTAATAAATCCACTATTCTGCCAGAATCCCAAAAGTCCACTAAATTAACTGACTATATACCATTGATGAGGGATCAGATGGAGGGTAAGGTGACTTGGAGACAGCTTCCAGGTTTTTGCTTCTTGGGGGTATGAGGGAGGAGGCAGCTTCCAGAAAATAAAATTCTTGTCTCCATCTGAGCGAGGCTAACAGCCTCATGGAGAGAAAAATGAAGTTCTCTTTGGCTATGTGGGTTTTTTGTTGTTTTTTACCTGCCCTGAGGTGTCTGGTCTGGGTGAATTCCCTCCAGTCCTGAAATCCCAGACAGAATTTGGGAAGAGCTGAGACAGCGAAACCCCCTCCAGGGACCTGACAGACAGGAGGGGATGCTTGGGCGGGCGTGCTCTCGTGATGGGGCGCGGGACCCTTGTACCCTACACGCGGTCCTTCCTATAGTTTGCTGGATCGGCTGCTTGCTCCACTGCGCCCTCTAGTGGAGGGACCGCTCCTACTACTCGGACCTCTCCGGAAAACTCCGGGCAGGCAGATCTCGCGCGCACCTCGTGGGCATCTCGTGGGCTGGTTAAGGCGAGCGCTGCTGTGCCCCTGAACCTCATTCTTCCCCAGCCCCGATTGAGACGTGGCCATCTGGCGGAACCTCGGCTGCACACGTGTGTACACAGTCCCGCCCTGAGAGCCACTGGACAGGATGGTTTCTAGCAGCAGATGAATTAGTGAAGGCAAAACACGAGAACACGTTAGGGTCCTTTCCTGTGAGTCACAAAATGTAAGATTGTGCCTTTTAGACGAGGAAAATGAGACTCAGAAAAATAAGGGGATTTACCCAAAATGGCATGATTACTAGAAGAGCGAGGAGAAGGCAGAAGAAAAGCACCAAGACACCGATGTCCGAAGTGAGTGCCCTTTGCTCTTCATCTCAGGACGGACTGGTGTAGCGTCCTCATCTGGAATGAAGGAGAAAACCAGAGAAAAGTGCATTTCCTCCCCTCTCCCCCCAAGAAATTGGAGGAACTGGCAACCTGAGCCTCCTGGGGATTACAGAGGAGGAGGGACATCACTGAGCGACCTCTCGAAGATCTATGCCGCCTTCCAAACAAGATGCCACGTGCTGTGAAGAGCAGTGGAGAACACAGACTTGGGAGTTTGCCAAGCTGCATGGCAGCCTTTGCCCATTCGTGGGTGTGGCTTTGATGATGGGACCCTTCGGAACCTGCTCGTGTACAGATGGTTTCGTGAGAGCGGGAGAGATGACTGAAGAGTTAAGAGCGCTCTCTCTCGTGCAGAGAACTGGAGTTCAGTTCCCAGCACCCACACTGGATGGCTCACAACCTGCTTCTGTGGACACCTGAATGGATGTTCACATACACAGACACATACACATAAATTTAAAAAAAAATCTCTTTTTAAAAAAACACAAAATTGTTGCACAACATAAACTCTTGGGAAAATTGAGAAAACATCCAGTAGTCACACTATATAAGGGCTCAGTATTTATCAGCTGCTAGGAGTCTCATTCAGTTGACTTAAGGTGTTCTCCATGAGCCCAAGCAAGGGTACAAGAGAGTCTACAACCTGGGAAATACTCAGCACGTTAGTCCACCACCCTGTGCCGTGGCACCCCCAATCCCTGTTGGACCTTCTCACCCCTGTATTTCGTGTTATTCTAAGGATGCAGCCTTGCATATGGAGCCCAAGAAAGAAAACACAGAGCCAGGCCTGGAGCAGGACCAGAAGCCTCGCCTAGATAGTGTCAACAGCAGCGAGAGTTTCGCCAGCTCGGGCTTTCAAGAGGACAAAAGCGTGAGCGACGTTGAGGAAGACGAGGGTAGGTATTCATTCCTTCCTGGCCTCCAGTCTAGGGTATTTTTACAACATACTGGGCATCTCACACATTTTTTTCCTTATTCATCACCCTAATAAACATCCTGGGAATGAGGGTAATGTCCTAGGGAGACAAGATTTGAATAAAGATTATGTACAGCGTTGCTAATTATGATAAGAACTGTTCCCTTCTCTCTGCTTGGGACTTTCTGTCTTACCAGGTCACCCATTCCCACCCAAACCCCATCTCCTGACCCTTCACCCCGACCCCCAACCCCATGGCCTGGAAAAAAAAACTCTGAGGTTCGTGTTGAGACTCAAATTTTCTTGCCAATGAACTCTGGTGCCCTTGATGGGTTGTTTTGTGTTTCGTTAATATTGTCTCAATAAACTGGGGTTTGGTGCAGTCGAGAAAGTCTTTACAAGGTTCTAATGATTGGTAGATTGCAGTGAGATCTCCAAGCAGCCCCTCACCATGGAAGACCTGATCTCCTACAGTTTCCAGGTGGCTAGAGGCATGGAGTTTCTGTCCTCCAGAAAGGTCAGCTCATCTCTTTACAGTTTTTCTGCTTTCTTTAATTTTCTTAATTGGAGATAAAGAGAGGTTTTGAGTTCTTCACACGTTTTTGCTTTACGTTGTACATTTTATTTTTATCCATGTTATTAAACTTAGAACCTGCTTGGAAGAGAACACACACATTTGCCTTCCATTTTTCTTCCCCACTAATCCCTACCTTTACTTTGATTTAACTGATGCATAAAAATGCACAAATTACATGTTAATTAATGTGTTAATGATGTCAAGTTTCAATACATGTATATGTTGGGTAACGTTTAAATCAGGTTAAATATTTCATAACTTTATAGTAAAAACTTTGAAAATTCATTCTTCTACATTTTCTTATGAGGCCTGAATACACACACACACACACACACACCACACACGCACGCACGCACGCACGCACGCACGCACGCACGCACACCTCTGTGGCTCTGTGGTAAAGCTATTTTCTAGTATTTGCTTATACTTATGCTCTTAACTGTGCAGTAGACACACCACAATGGCCTGCATTTGCTCACTTATGAAGAGATATCAGGATGGTGGCCTTGGGCCCTGGTGGGTAGAATTTAATGTAAGGGTAGAAGAGCTTCCTGGGTGTTTGGACGACGCAAACCCGGCACCAGCTCCCAAGCAGCCCTCTATCACATTTCCAAACTGCCCAGGCCTCATAAAGAAAACTGTTTCAGTACACTCACACAGGGCTTCCCAAAAAACCTCAGCTCAAGCCGAGCTGGGGCTCCTGCAGCATGCAGGAGGATCCCTGCTTACAGGCCAACCCGGTGAGTTCTGCCTGCCATTGCATGGCAGGATTCTGCTTTTTTGTTTTGTTTTGATTGGATTTTTTGAGACAGGGTCTCACTATGTAGCCTTGGCTGTCCTGAAACTCGCTTTGTAGACCAGGCTCGCCTTGAACTCACGGAGATCTGCCTGCCTCTGCCCCCGAGTACTCGCCCGGCTCAGGAGTCTGTCTTAAAGACAGCGTCAGCAAACAAACAAAATATATCACACCAATCCAAAGCTCCCAAGATCTGATCTAAGGTTGTAGGGAAATCTCACTTACTGGCGTGATTCAGGCCGCCAGTGGCTTGACCAGCACACTCTCCACAGAACCAGAGCCTGGCTGATTTAGAACTTATCTTTTGGGCCTCCTGGACTCTCTTCTTGTGCAGAAGCGCGTTGTGTTTATGCTTGGCGTGTGCTGAGAGTGTCTTCTTTTCCCACATATGAAATGGAGCCTAGAATTAAGGATGACCATCCTAGGGCCAGTGAGATGGCAAAGGACCCCGCTGCCAGACTTGGTGACCTAAATTCAGTCCTAGGAACTCACAGGGCCGGAGGAGAGAATTGACTTCCACAAGTTGTTCTCTACATGTATGCTTGCTTACACGAGTACACACACACACACACACACACACACACACACACACACACACACACACTTTTTTAAGAAAAGAATCATGACCCAGAGTGGACAGAGGAAGTGAAGCGGCTGGATTCTGGAAGTGGGTTCACTCTGTAACTGTTTTATTATAGTGCATCCATCGAGACCTGGCAGCGCGGAACATCCTTTTGTCTGAGAACAATGTTGTGAAGATTTGCGATTTCGGCCTGGCCCGGGATATTTATAAGAACCCTGACTATGTGAGAAAAGGAGATGTGAGTCAGCTGCATGGATATTTCATTTCTACCCCATCCTTTCTAGGCCACAGACTGAAACCCTTGCAGAGAGGTACACTTCCCAGGCACTCATCCCCCCCAAATTCTCATGGGGTCCTATGAAGACAGGTGGTCCAGAAGAGCTGTGTACCAGAGAATGCTTGTGGTAGAACCTTCTGTCTGTCTGTCTGTCTGTCTCTGAGCCCCAGCTGGGGACCTGGCCTTAGAGCGGGACCTCATGAGGCTTCCTAGCCTCAGCAGCATGTTGGGCCCTGCGGAGACCACATCAGTCCTTGCCTGCCACCCCTAGGGGAGTTCCATGTCACACTGGAAAGAACAGTGTGACCTCTTCCCCTCGGATAAACCCAAATGATTGATTCAGCAGGTGGCGGTGCCTCCGGGGAAAGCAGGGGGAGGGCACACACTGTCTTGAAGGGAGGAAGCTGCTTTCCTCCAGGGAGGCCTTTCGGGGGGCCATCTCCCTTCTGGCCCACCCTGGCCTCTCTTCTCCGTTTGTTTCGGAACATGGTGTTACTTGTCACTTACCGGGTGACCTCTGGTGTCCTCTCTCGTCTGGCCTCTGCCAGGAGGGCTTCAGCTGATGTCTGGGCTCTCTGGATTGCCCTGCAGCAGAGACTCTCAGGCTGTAGGAAATATGCATATCACCTAGCGGCCTTTCCGAATCACAGCTTGCTGTCCTCAGCCCACACCCCTTGATGCAGAAAGTCTGGGGGTAGGGTGCAGGGAGAATCCTTGGAATCTGCATTTTCAACAAGCTTCTGGACCATGTTATGTAGACCCCGGACCACACTTTCAGAATCCCTTCTTAGTCACTTTTGATGTTGTTTATTTTATTTTTAGTTTGTAAGTGTGGGTGGTTTACCTGAATGTCTGTCTGCGCACCACATTCATGCAGTGCCTGAGGAGTCCAGAAGAGGGCACCAGCCCCCCTGGGACTATAGGTACAGACGGTAGTGAGGTACCCTGTGGGCACTGGGAATGGAACCCAGGTCCTCTGGAAGAGCAGCCAGTGCTCTTAACTGCTGAGCCACCTCTCCAGCTCCCCAGTCCCTTTTTTTCTAAGAGGAAGACAGTCTGACTTTGGTGGAACGCCTGCAGAAATGGCTTCTGCCCGCGTTTCAGGTTGGCCCTCTTCGCCGACCCTGACTCTTGGTTTCTCCACAGTCTTTGTCTCTCCACTGTCCAGACATCTTACTAACTCCCACCAGCCCGACTCCCAGCTGACGCACTGTGGTCTCTGCTGTCTGAAAGAGGAGGACTGGTGTGCATGCTTGAGATCCAGCTGTACATTCTCCTACATGGAGAACACCTCAACACAAAATAATCTTTCTTCTTTCAAGGGATGTGGAAGATTGAATGAAGACTGAAGCCAGGACCTCACACATATCAAGCACATGTTCCACTCCTGAGCCAATTCTAGCCCCCAGTTCAAGACTTACCATCCCATCTTTTTACATAGGGATGTCTTTCAAAATCCCCTTTCTTAGAAAAAAATTCATAGGAATTGCTATCCATTTTCAGGGTGTTTCCTAATTCAGACCACTTTACCAAACCCTTCCTGTCCCTATGTTGGTGGGGAAGGGACCATGAGAACACAGCTTAAGATCCGTGGAACAGGGACCTGCTGAGTGCCCTAGAGAAGTCTACCTGCCACACCTGGTCCCCAGAGATGGGGTAGCCGCTAGGGCTCCCTCTTGGCAACCTGCCACGTGCTCAGTGGTTTGGGAAACCACGGCTGTTCTGCTTCCGCATAAGTACTAAGTGGAAGGGGACCCCTGAGCCCCGGGTGTGGACATTGCTTTGTTTTCATGCTCAAGGTCCCTTGCCCTCTTCCAGACCCGGCTTCCCCTGAAATGGATGGCTCCTGAATCCATCTTTGACAAGATCTATAGCACCAAGAGCGACGTGTGGTCCTATGGAGTGTTGTTGTGGGAAATCTTCTCCTTAGGTAAATGTGGAGGAGGGAGGGGGTCGGAACAGCCCAGAAGCCCGTGTCTGTGTCCTGTGCAGAGCATCCTGTGGACACACCCAACTCTGAGGTCCGCACCGGAGCCCATAGCAAACCCAGGTGGAGTGTCCAACAATGGCCTTGCAGGGACACAGTGCCAAGCCTGAGTGTCCCCCAGCTGCTTCCGACCAGCAGTGATCCCTAGAAAGTGCGGACAAACACAGGCTTGGGTTGGGTGGCCTCGGGCTAAGCAGAGCATTCTGCAATGCCTGGCCCACCCTATGGAGCCCAGGCTAGCTGCAGAGGATTGGCTAGAGGTGCTGTTAGATACAGGTGATGGATGTACACATACCCACTATTACAGAAAGTGTTTACATCATTATAACAAAGTCAGGTGGCAGAAAATTTAGAGACAGAGCTGTCTGTCTGTCCTTTGCTCCCTTCTCCAGTTTCTCCAATACCAGCTCTCATGTCTTTACCCCTTTCCTCCAGACATCCACTCCCTCAGGATTTCTTCTCAGGAAAGGCCCTGATGTACACAGCTAGACCAGTAGAAGGCTTTGTTAGAGGCAGCTGGTATTGATCTAATGCCTTTGATGCTAATACCCGCCATGGCGTTGCACACTAATTTATACAGACAAGCAATAAAAAGTTCTGGTTAGGTTTTTTGCTAGCTAGGTTTGTTCAGCACTCTCCACTATGGGTTTATTTATTTATTATTTTTATGTGTATGTGTGTTGTACCTACATGCTAAGTATGTGCACTCTGTGCATGCAGTGCCTGAGGAGGCCAGGAGAGGGCGTCAGATCCCCTGGAACCGGATGGGTGTGGGGCTGGAAATGGACCCCAGGTCCTCTACAAGAGCAGCCAATACCCCAGCCCATCTACTCCGGGTTTCTAAAAACCATCTTCAAAGCCTCTTTCCTACAGATGTGCACAGAAGGTATACCTGCTCACACAGGGATGGTATGAGATCTCCCGAGTATGAGAATTAGCCAAGAATCTTCAGGCTTTGCAAAAAAAAAAAACCCAAAAAACAAAAACAAACAACAAAAAAAAGCAAATAAAATGAATAAAATGCACTCAGATGCACTCAGTGATACCCTCAGGATCCTGCAATGTGTAAAAACCATTCCCCTGCTTTCGATGACAGGCACCTGTTGCTTCCACTCCTAGAAAGCAGCTCAGTGGCTACAGTGGCTTTGCAGGGACACAGTGCCAAGCCTGAGTGACCCCCAGCTGCTTCCGACCAGCAGTGATCCCTAGAAAGTGCGGACAAACACAGACCGGGCTGGGTGGCCTCGGCCTCGGGGCTAAGCAGAGCATCCTGCAATGCCTGGCCCACCCTACAGAGCCCAGGCTAGCTGCAGAGGATTGGCTAGAGGTGCTGTTAGACACAGGCTGGGAAAGACAGCCCAGTGCCCCCCGGTACCCTCAGCTTTGCAGACTCTGGACTAGGAGCAGCCTCCATCCATCCACCCTAGTCAGCCTTGCCCTGGAACCCAAGGCCCTATCCTTTAGACTTGTTATAATCCCTCATTCCCAAAGCCTCCGAATGAAGGTCATTTTATGAGAAGTTGGAATGGTCCACCAGTAGCCTTGCCCAAGTCCATTGGTTTTCCAAAGACAGGTTAATAACCCGAGCCACGAGTGTCTAAGGATTCGATGTCTTTAGAGTTGTCTGTGGAGCCAGGACAGGAAGACTTCAGATTGTCCCTTCTGACCAAACGGGCAGATGTGGCCAGAGGGATGGCCACGAATCAGCCAAGGATGTGCCCTCAGGAAGGGCCTGCCAGACACCTCTCTGTGTAGAGGTTCACCTCAGGCACTGGAAATCTATCACTAAAATGTGACTGTATATTTATTTTGGGGATTGTGAGGTAGGGTGTCACTAGACAGCCTAAACTGGCCTCAGCCTCCCTCCCAAGAACTGGGATTACAGGCATGTACTACCATTCCTGGCTAAAACATCACTTTGAAGAAATGAGGGAAACTCTGAATTGCCCCTCGTGGTCTTTGGGGTGGTTTGTTTGCTTGTTTGTTTGAGACAAGGTCTCACCTTGTAGTCCTGGCTGGCCTCAAACTCACAGAGATCCATCTGCCTCTGCCTCCCAAGTACTAGAATTTAAAGTGTGCAAAACACACACACACACACACACACACACACACACACACACACACACACACGCCGTCTTTTGTACCAGAAACCTTACCTCACACATGTTTTTCCACACCATCTCTGCAGGGGGTTCTCCTTACCCAGGAGTGCAGATGGATGAAGATTTCTGCAGCCGACTTAAGGAAGGCATGAGGATGAGGTCACCAGAGTACGCAACGCCTGAAATGTGAGTTCATGGCTTTATCCTTCTCCACTCAGGGACCTGGGGTGGTGTGTAAGGAGACGGGGACCCTGGGGTGGTGTGTAAGGCCCACAGGAATCCTGAGGTGATGTGTAGGAATACAAGGACCCTGGGGTGGTGGTAAGGAGACAGGGACCCTGGGGTGGTGGTAAGGCCCACAGATTTATTTTCAGCTCCACTCTTCAGAGATGCTGCCCCAGTCCCTGCGGGCTCAGCTGGGCTGGGAGAGACTTCCAGAACTGGATGTGCTCTGGATCTGCCCCTGCTTCCTCTCCCACCCACTGACTGGCCTTTCAAGGACTTGAGCTGGGAGCTGAAGTCAGAAAGCCAGACAGAATGAACAGCCCCTAGGAACTGAATGCAGGGCCTCCCCTCACCAGCTCGGGTCAAGGCAGCGGCCTTTGTAGCCCAGGCTTCCATCTACCGAGCCATGGGGGAGCAGGGAGGGGTTGGGTGGTCTGTACTGTGCTCCACGGGAGGCTGTATGGGTGGGGCTTGGGATGTGGCTCAGTTATCTTGGTAGTCCTTCCCTGGCACTCACGAGGTCCTGGGTCCATCCCCAGCACTGCATACTGTGCCGGGAATCCTGGCGCTCTGGAAGGAGAAGGCTGGAATTTAAGGTCATTTTCAACGGCATGCAAAGATCAAGGCTGGTCTGAGCTACTTGAGAACCTGTTTCCAAAAACTTAGAAATAAATTGATAAGGAAAGAAAGAAACGCGGGGTAGCAAAGCCTCTTTTCAATCCTCTAGGGCTCGGCCAGGCAGTTGTCAGAGCCCCTGACCAATGGGCTGGTGGAGGTTCCTTCAGGAGTCAGGGAGGAGACCGGCTCTGGGCAGGCTGGCTCTGGGCAGGCCTCTCCACTGTCAGTGGGCGAGCTCTCCTCTGCTGGGTACCGTTTCCTGTCACTCGGAGGCCTCAGCAGGAATGTGCTGACGCCCGCAGTTTGGGTGAGCTGCTGACTAGGACCTGGGCCCCCCTGAGGTGGCGCCACCTTTCCTGAACCGGCAGACGACCTCCCCTCCCCCACCCACACAATGAGGTCCTGTGGAGCCCGGGGCTGGCCTTTAGGGAGGAGCCAAGACCCAGAAGGAAGTGTGGGCTTGGCCAAAGGGCAAGGTCGCCATCTCTTTCCTTCATTATCTCAGGACCAAGCTAGGTCAATGCCAACCCAGGGAACTGGGTGAGGGAGACCAAGGACTCGGACGTGAAGGCAGGGGAGACACAGGACTCCGTCAGTGTTGAGTGGTGGCCTCTTCAGGGGAGTGTAGGGGCTGGGCTGAGCCAGGGCGCCCCCTAGGCTGCAGAGAGGATTTAGACTTGTGGGACCCTGACCACTGCAGAAGAGGTTGAGTAAGGTCAGTCCGTACTCGATGTTTTCCCTGGATGGTCTCATGTAGACGTCCCACGATCTTGAGGATCATAGGGCAGATCCGATGATCTGAACTTGGCAAATGTCAAAACAGACTACGAGAAGTAAAGCTGTGCTGGGCAGTGGTGGCGCACGCCTTTAATCCCAGCACTCGGGACGCAGAGGTAGGGAGATCTCTGTGAGTTTGAGGCCAGCCTGGTTTACAGAGTGAGATCCAGGAAAGGCGCAAAGCTACACAGAGAAACCCTGTCGAGAGAAAGAGAGAGAGAGAGAGAGAGAGAGAGAGAGAGAGAGAGAGAGAGAGAGAAGTACCGCTGCATCTTTCTGCCAGCTAAATAGCCGAGTAGGCAGCCTAGTCCCGTGACCCCCGAAGGGCACGCTCTACATGCCAGCACATGCTCTGACTTAATATGCCCTCCTGCTTTTCACATAATCTGAAAGTCATGAGCAAGTCCTCAGCTGCCAACAGTAATAATAACTGCAGTTACTATAAAATGGTATTGGTTGACACTGTTTTAAGTGCCCCCAACTAGTTCAATACATCTGACGCTCCAAACCACCCTGTGGAAGTACACGCCGTCATCAGCCGCATTTTACAGGCGACAGACGGGGCACCTGACGTCCACTCTCTAACATGATCTGCCCGTGGTCCGTGGCCAGTCATTAGCCATCAGAGTCCAGGGGCCACACCTCAGCCTTCAGGGGCCGTTTCCAGCTCTCACACTCACCAGAATAATTCCAGAAGCACGGAATCACCTCAGCTGTGGACTGAAGGCTTCTGTAGGGCCGGGTGCAGAGGCCTGTGCTGTAGTCCCGACACAGGCAAGCCTGAGGCAAAAAGAGCAGGCGTTCAAGGCCGGGCTGCCCTGCACAGTGAGACCCTGTCTCAGAAAAACCCAAGACAAGCAAGGCTCTCATCAAACCTCCGTGTTCCCATAAGCCTCTTCCAGGTAGCTCGTGGGCCCCAAACAGCCGATAGGGCGTGGTTCAGAATTTAAAAGGTAAGATGTAGCTTCGAAAAGTGTTTCCTCAAAAGGGGGATGCAAGCCAGCAGCCATGTTCTCAGGCAGCCATGTTCTCAGTCAGCCATGTTCTCAGGCTGCCATGTTCTCAGTCAGCCATGTTCTCAGGCAGCCATGTTCAGTCAGCCATGTTCTCAGGCAGTCATGTTCTCAGGCAGCCATGTTCTCAGGCAGCCATGTTCAGTCAGTCATGTTCTCAGTCAGCCATGTTCTCAGGCAGCCATGTTCAGTCAGCCATGTTCTCAGTCAGCCATGTTCTCAGTCAGCCATGTTCTCAGGTAGCCATGTTCTCAGTCAGCCATGTTCAGGCAGCCATGTTCAGGCAGCCATGTTCTCAGTCAGTCATGCTCTCAGGTATGTGAGAGTTGAAAGGATTGGAGTCATCTCTTTGTTCCAACCACAAGAAAGTTTGAGTGATAGGATAACTCAGGGCAGCTTTTCTGGCATTTGTGACCTTAGCTTGACCTAAGCCTGGGAAAGTTTGGCTAATAGCCTTGAGACTCTTCTTACAATCCCCTCTGCCCATCTTGGACGCATCTGAACTCCTCCCTCCCTCCCTCATCCCTCTCCCTCCCTCCTTCCTTCCCTCCCTCCCCACCTCTTCCTTTCTCTCTCACTCTACTTCCTGGAGGAAACTTTAAGTTGAGTGAGTTGTTCCCACCCAGTGCCTGTCAATCAGATACCTGCCACCCCACAGGGGAATAGCGGAGAGTGATTTCTTTGTCCTTTGGTGTCTGCATTGACTTGCAGGTCAGGGTGCAGAAAGAGAAAATAATAACCCAGGGACACACTTGGAATCCAGGAGGTAATTCTACTTTTACCTCAGAGAACCCAGGGAGCAGATGACCAAGTTAGTCACACTTCCCAGAAGGCTGGACCCCCATCTGTGCTATGAGATGTCAGTGACCCTGGTGGCAGAGAGGAGGCCTCTGCTGAATGCAATAGGCTCAGGCGCCTTGGTGTTGCCTGGTTCCAGGTTTCCTCACTTGTGTTACCAATTGCAGAGTAGCTAAGTAAATATCTGATGTTCTGTCAACCAACTTTGAAATCCTCAGACCATGAAGCCTGTGTGGTCAGGAAGAAGCCAGACAGCCCCAAGGAGCCAGGCTCAACTCAAGAGGGGGGTGTGTGTGTGTGTTAACTATCTGGCTCTGAGGCATGTTTTTGCACCTACCATAAATATCTAAAAATGAGTAAATTGGTAACATGTATGAACATACCTTAAGATGAGACCCATGTAGGATCTTAGGAGACAGTGTGGCTTGTGCTATTTCTGCCTTTGGCTGGCAGCACGTTGGCCCCAGTGGCCCGAGGATGCTCTGGCAGAACCGCCTGGAGCCAGCACTCAAGGTGCTCCAAGGACAATGAGGACTCCAGGTGTCTCGGCCACATGTCACGCGTCTCCTGCAGAACAGGGACAGTAACCCAGACTTAGAAGGGCAGTGCTCAGTTCTACAACCCCTCTTGGCTTTGGTTTCCGGAAGCTGAGCCCCAGTACAGACGTACCCAGCATTCGCTGGGACACTACACCAACGTCCAGCTTTCAGCCCAGGCATCACAGTCACCAAGCCCCCCAGTGCTCGGGGTCAAGGGTCGCCAGCACACAGAAGTGTGCAGGAGTGAAGACACCCCAGAACCAGCTTCTGAGGAGCGGGCTAGTCTTCAGATTGGGGCAAGGATAAGGACAGACGATTCTCAAAAGCAGACATGTGAAACATAGATTCTTAGGCCTTTGCATGACCTTTCTAAGCTCCTGTCCTTCACTGAAAACTTAAGTTAGGTAGGGAGACTCATGCCTCTAATCGGAGCACATGGGAGGCTGAGGCAGGAGGATTACTCCGAGTCTGAAATCAGCCTGGTGTATATAGTAAAACATCTTCTCAAAAACGAAGAAAGAGAAGACACTCTATGGCCTCTCCTCCCCCAGTGGGAGCTGTTTGTCTGCTGTAGTCAAGTTTGGAGTTTTCACCTTCGAAAACAGCTAATCCAGTAATTACACTGAAGAACAAGCTTAGGACCTCTGCTGACCAGGTTCTCTTATCAGGAAGCAGAACCTGAGTTCTGCCAGAAAGCTTCCTTTTTTTGGTTTTTCGAGACAGGGTTTCTCTGTGTAGCTTTGCGCCTCTCCTGGAACTCGCTCTGTAGACCAGGCTGGCCTCGAACTCACAAAGATCTGCCTGGCTCTGCCTCCCAAGGGCTGGGATTAAAGGCAGGCGCCACCACTGCCCGGCTCAGAAAGCTTCCTTTTAAAGGAGTATTTAAAACCAGACGAAGTGTCCATTAGTGCCTAGAGGGTGTCCTGTTCCTGAAGAACAACAGCCTTTGTTGCCAAGGCGTCTGCTAATGTTGAAAATCCTTGTACCTGACAGTCCAGTGACGTCATTGCTCCTGGGAGGCAGGGGTGTGGAGGGGTGCCCAGGAGTTCGGGGCTGAGAACAGCCAGACTTCTGGGTCTGTTTCTAAGTTCTGGTGTGTGTGCACCTTCGAATCCATCACCCCTTCTCTTCATCTGCTGTCTGGAAGGTCAGACCAGCTTTTTGTTTTATTGGTTTGGTTTTGTCTTTTGAGACAGGGTTTCTCTGTGTAGCTCTGGCTGTCCTGGAACTCACTCTGTAGACCAGGCTGGCCTTAAGCTCAGATGTCTACCTCCTGAGTGCTGGGACTTAAGGCTTGCACCCCCTCCCCCCACCAGAGCCAGCTTTGAACAGAGTTCTCAGGATACTGGCGTAACCCCCCCCCATGGAATTTGGCCCACACTTGGGCCGTTTGTCCTCCCCATTTTCCTGCTTCCCTCCTGCTACCAATGTCCTTCTCTTCTTTAGACCTCCCTGTCTTCTTACCTGTTTTTGTCGGCCATGGCCTGTCTTAAGACAAAACAAGCATATCTTGAAGAGACACAGGAACTGTCAGGGCCGCCATGGGCATGCATGTAGCAGCTGGCAGGGCAGAATGATTCCCAGCATCCCTTGGGCTTTTCCCGGAGCCGCCCCTAGCTGCCAGCACCGTAAGTAATCCCTGCACTGTGACTGAAGACTTCCCAGAGCAGCAGAGCTTCTGGGGGTGCTGCCCTGCGAGCGCCCTGGGTACAGAAAGTGGAGATGAAGCCCCAGGCCGCACAGGCTAATCCAGACCTCACTCTGAAGTCCCAGCCTCGTCAGATTTTACTCTGATGTAGTCAGAGTCTGCGCTGGTCCAAAGGCTCCTGCGAAAGAAGAGATGATGGAAAGATAAACCCCTGGGAGAGAGCTCAGGGGAGCGCTTGGCCCAGTGTGTGCGGGGATCCCCGGCGTGTGCTCTGCACAGGGAATCCATCCAGACTTCCAGTCCCAGTGCACATGACCGAGAGGACAGCCCAGCAGCAACACAGCCAAACTCTAAGAGGAAAACAGAATGCAAAAGAACCTGCTGACGCAGAAACCTGAGGACAAGATGCAGTCTCTATGATATTAAGACCCATGCTTCCAGCTGGGCGGTGGTGGCGCACGCCTTTAGTCCCAGCACTCGGGAGGCAGAGCCAGGCGGATCTCTGTGAGTTCGAGGCCAGCCTGGGCTACCAAGTGAGTCCCAGGGAAGGCGCAAAGCTACACAGAGAAACCTTGTCTCAAAAAACCAAAAAAAAAAAAAAAAAAAAGACCCATGTTTCTAACCCAGAAGCCCCGTCTGTTTGCCTTAGTGTTGACAAACTACTTTGTAATAGGGACTTTGACATTCTGGGCAAAAATTAAGCCGCCACACAAAGGAACCTTGCACACACCCGAGGAACTACTGAAGTCTACTGTCTATGGACCTAGTTTGGAAATGACCCACGTCGTGGGCTGGTGCCTTCCCCACCAGCCTCCCATGCAGAGCCTTCCCAAGGAAGTGTGGGAGCTCTTCCAAGAATCTAAGGAGCACCCCCAGGAAGTCTGTTAACCTTCCCGAGGAAATGAGGACCTCCTAAGGGAGTGTGAAGGTGTGAAGATGTCACATGCTTACAGAGAAGCCAAGTGGAACCAACCTTCATTACAACTCAAGAATGAAGCGGGAGGCTGGGTGGGTGGTGGACGCCTTTAATCCCAGCACTCGGGAGGCAGAGCCAGGCGGATCCCTGTGAGTTCAAAGCCACCCTGGTCTACAGAGTGAGATCCAGGACAGCCAAAGTTACACAGAGAAACCTTGTCTCAAAAAACAAACCAGAGGCCGGGCGGTGGTGACGCACGCCTTTAATCCCAGCACTCAGAAGGCAGAGCCAGGTGGAAATCTGTGAGTTCGAGGCCAGCCTGGTCTCCAAAGTGAGTTCCAGGAAAGGCGCAAAGCTACACAGAGAAACCCTGTCTCGAAAAAAACCAAAAAAACAAAAAAAAAAAAAAAAAAAAAAAAAAAACAAACCAGAGCAAAACAACAACAAGAATAAAGTGGCCATCACAAGCTACAAACCAGTCAGGCTGTGACTGTTTTCAGCTTTGGGGACACCGTCCTCCTCCTGAGATAGGAGTGCTCCACTTACCCCCAACTGCACAGAGCACCCCTTTCCTATCTAAGTCCCCTTCTTTGATCTGTAAGACCCCGTCCTGGCACCTAACGAAGGTGGGTCAGGTGTTCAGTAAGTAGACATGTGTGTGCCCCCAGGCACTGATGCTATAAACCTAAAAATGAAACCACATTACACATTATAAAAAGCATCGTCTGCGATGGGAGCCCAACAGAGCAGGGCGGGCTCTATAAACCCCACTGTTCTCCAGCTCTTTCTGTGTGTTCCTCATCAACAGCTACCAAATCATGTTGGATTGCTGGCACAAAGACCCCAAAGAGAGGCCCCGGTTTGCAGAACTTGTGGAGAAACTCGGTGACCTGCTTCAAGCCAACGTCCAACAGGTAACGTTTAGATCAGAAGGATGAATGTATTCCTAACAGAATTGGAAAGAACAGCAATAAAAAGTGGTGTATGTGTGTGTGTGAGAGAGAGACAGAGACAGAGAAAGAGTATGTGAAAGTGTGTGTATGTGTCAGGGAATATGTGTGTTATGTGTTTAGAGTGAGAAAGTATGTGTGCTCGAGTGTGTGCACGAGCGTATGTGTGTGTCCCTGGAGGAGAAACTTCTGTGATTAGAGGTCTGTCTTTGGTGTTTAGGATGGTAAAGACTACATCCCGATCAATGCCATCCTGACGAGAAACAGTGGCTTCACGTACTCAGTCCCCACCTTCCCTGAGGACTTTTTCAAGGATGGCTTTACAGCTCCAGCATTTCATTCTGGAAGCTCTGATGATGTGAGGTGAGATTCTGCTCCCCAGTTTTACCACAGAAAGAAGAGGGGATAAGGATGGAAGGGGGAGGGAGGAGGAAGGGAAGGAGGAAATAGAGAAAAGAAAGAACCCCCATCTACTCTGCCCCCTGAGTCCAACTGTTGTTAGCATTCTGCCATGTCTTGTCTGTGTGTTATTAAGTTGGAGGCCTATGTCTTTTCTTTTTTTTCTAAATTTCTAATGAATAAGACATCGTATTTTCTCAAGGTATTATCTTATTCTAGAACTGAAGCCTGGTTTTCATGACAATGACTTTGATTAAACTTGACATAAACTAAAACTAGCGAAGAGGAGTAGCGCAGGGCTGGGATCCCAGAACCCAGGAGGCTGAGGCAGGAGGATACATGTTTAGAGCCAGCTGGGGTTACAGAGTGAAACGGTGTCTCAGAAACAACAACCAAGAAGAAGAAAAGTTACATGAAACTAAATAAAACTAAGCCTGGTGGCGGTGAATCCCAGCACTCGGGAGGCAGAGGCAGGTGGATCTCTGTGAGTTCGAGGCCAGCCTGGGCTACAGAGCGAGATCCAGGATAGCAAGGGAAACACAGAGAAACCTGCCTCAAAAAACCACACACACACACACACACACATACCAACCTTCTCTTTTTGTTCTTTATCTTCACCTAACCAACATTTACATCCCGCATTACTGTAGAGGAAACTGGGTTCCAGCTAAGAGAACAAACGGTTACTGAGAAAGTGTGCTAGCCAGTGTGGGCAGTTACAGCGTATGGAATGTGTGGTGGCCCTGTGGTCACAGAAACACATGCTCCGGTCTGGTGTTGTGCTGGCATTCTGTACATATCAACAACTTCCATGTGCAGAGCTGTTCCTGCAAAGTACGCGTTATCCCTGTGTGACAGATGAGGACCTGTCACTCTGTCACCCGGAGAGATGAGAACTCAGTGAAATGTGTGCCGACCAAGTAACTGAGTTTGTAACCCAGGAAGAGGGACCCGCTCTCCAGGTCCCTAACGCGGTCAGGGTCCCTTCAGAGCCTTCCGGGATCTCCAGCTGCAGCAGGCACAGCTTTCAGGCTGGACCTCAGTTCCGTTACCAGGGAAACACAGGAGAGGGATGCAGCAGCTGGAAACCGCTGGCAGCCATGTGTGACGGGTTTTGAAGCCGTCCTCAGGCAGCCCAGAGCCATGAGGATGACAGGTGGACGTCACTGCTCAGACCTGACACCTAGCCACTCGCCTCGTTTTAAATGATAAAGCCTGGCTGGGGTAGAAATGGGATGAAGGGCGGGAAGCTAATGTCAGCCCTTCTAGTAGGTTGCTTAGCCAGAGACTCAATAGGCGTCTAGCCCACGGGTCTGGGCCTTGCAGCTGCTAAGACTACCAGACAACGGTTTAGTTGATGAGTGGGTTTGCCTATGAGCATCCATCCAATGGGATATCCCATCAGGCCTTTCCAATAGATCACAGATGAAAACTGGCAGGTGGTCACTGAGAAATCTTACAAACATCACTCATTTCTCCCGACTGTACTTGTGGTCCGGAATGTACCACGTGGGCTCCCCTCAGTTGTAAACTGAAATCAGCTGTGAGGTCTCAATGGGACATTTATTTGTCACTCCATCTCCTTTTAGGAAGCAGACAGCAATAAGTGATAAGATGGAGTCACTGTGCCTCCTGGGGCATTGGTCTCGTGTCACCAAGACACTTGGGCCAGATGAGGTCTCATTCAGATCTCCTCTACGACTGGCATTTTTTGACTCCATGAGGAACTGGAGTGGACCCTTTTAGGGTTTTCCTGAAGACTATAAATAAACTGTGAGTTGACCGCATGGTGGAAGTGACGTCACCATGAGGATTCCTAGAGGGTACTAAGAAAACTGAGGCAGCTGGTATTTTGGTTGGTAGGTGGGACCCACCCAGGCTCATCGAAGGTGTGTGTATTGATTATTTTCCTGCATTGATTATTCTCTCTACTTCTTCCTTAGATATGTAAATGCTTTTAAATTCCTGAGCCTGGAAAGAATCAAAACCTTGGAGGAGCTTTCACCAAATGCCACCTCCGTGTTTGAAGTAAGTCACCATAGTGACACCCGGTGACCTCTGCCGGAAACCTCTTCTTGTATGAGCACCCAGGCCAGCAGTGCTTGGCCGGTGATTGACAGAGGCCAAGACTGACAATATGGGGGAAGAACAGACGGTCAGACCTCACCATGCAGAGCTGATCTGAAAGAGAATTCCACGGTTTGAAGAACTCCTGGGACTCACTCAGGGGCCTGTTCTTTTCCAGCAGTTCCTGGGAGGGGAAGTGGAGCGGTCCTGTGTGTATGTTCACTAGACTCTTGTAGGCTATCAGAGATGCACCCTTCCTTGAGAGTGTAAGATGTGTGAGTGGCTGGGCCTTGTGCTATAGCATACTAGGTCTGAAAGAAGGCCATGTGGGCCCCAGGTCCCTTCGCCCTAAGGCCCTGCAGCTGAGCAGCTATGTTCCCACCCAGACACACTAGTCAGTCAGAGCATGCAGAGTGGCCGGCAAACCAGGAGCTTCTGTCGGCGAGTCTCTGGAAATCCCTTGAAGGGGAGTGACAGACTAAGATGTGGGGAGGAAGGCAGAGCAGGAGTGCACGTCTGGTATGGCTGACCGTGGGCTCCAAGTGGGCTCCTGAGACAAACACAATGCCATAATTCGAGAGCAGAAACCTTGAGGCCGGGGCCTGAGAGACAGCGGCACAGCAGTTAGGAACACCGGTCGCTCCTCCAGAGGATCCAAGTTCGGTTCCCAGGACTCACATGGTGGCTCACAACCGTCTGTCACTCTAGCTAGTTACAGGAGACCTGAAGCCCTTTTTTGGGGATACCAGGGTGCACATGCATGCAGGAAAAAAATTACCCATACACTAAAATAAATGTTTCAAAATAAGCCAACAAAGACCTGAACCGCATGGACACTCAAGATGAAGGGACGTGGTGACTTCAAAATAGACGTTCCCGTGTAGAATGCCGTGATAAAGTAGGTAGTGTTTCGAGTACCAGGAACAACACTCAGCGAACCTCAGGATTTCTCAAGCCTAGGCTCCCCTACAACGCGGGGAATGACAGCAGCATCTTCCCCGGCCTGGGTCCCCGCTGGCGTTTACACAGCCCAGTGAGAGCCTCCGAGCGAGCAGGGACCGAGCGTGGAGTCTCTCGGACAGGACATCACACTGTAGTGACAGAGTAACAGAGAGCCCCGCCCTGAAGATGACTGAACCACAGTAGTTCCTGGACTCCAAGGCCAGGGGGGACCTGCCAGTGCCACAGACTCGCCAAGAAAAAGAACCAGAAAAAGCCGCCTCTGTAACTTCCCAGGAATTTTACGTATGGCAGCAATACCCATAGACCACCACCAAGATTAGTTTTTGTTTTTTCAAAGACTTGTTTTGTCCGCCTTCATGTCTGTGTGAAGGTCTTGGACCCCCTGGAACTGTAGTTATAGACAGCTGTGAGCTGCCCTGTGGGTGCTGGGAATTGAACTTGGATCCTCTGGAAGAGCTGCCAGTGCTCTTAACGGCTGAGCCGTCTCTCCAGCCCTGATTGGTTTTAATATATATGATCATGTGCATGAAGGTTTCACACGGAAAATACGAAGCAGTTACATGCAATTTTCCATCCTATGTGTATGCATGTGTGTATGCGCGAGAGTATGCACATGTGCATGTGTACTTGCCCATGAACGTGTATGTGGAGTCCACTGGCCAAGGATGGGTGCCTTCCTTACTTGTTCACCTTACTGGGGTTTTTGCTGTTTGTTTTTTTAAGACAGGGTCTTTGAATGAACCCAGAGCTCAGAGTTTGAGCTAAACTAACTGGCCAGCAAGCCCCTGTCTCTGTCCCCACCTCCCACCGCCGCCGGGGCTCTGGGGAAGGGTCTGGAAGAAGGGTCTCGCAGTAGCCCGGAACAGGCACCATTTGTCTCTGTCAAGCTCACAGTTGGCAGTACAGGGAAAATGCTCAGTGCCAACGGGCAGGGGGTTGTGGGTGATGAGGGCAGCACCTCAGAGGTGCCTCCCAGTGTCTCCCCAGTCCTGTGGAGCATTCCAAGCCAGGCGAGTGAGGCATCTTCCTCTTTCCTCCCACAGGATTACCAGCTGGACACGAGCACTCTGCTGGCCTCCCCACTGCTGAAGCGATTCACCTGGACTGAGAGCAAGCCCAAGGCCTCACGGAAGATAGAGTAAGGAGGTGGGGGTGGGGGTGGGCGAGGGTGGGGCATGGAGGAGGATGCCGGGGATGCCGGGAACAATCGGGGGGCTGTTCAAGGCTACCTGGCCTCCTAGTGTTCAGGTATAGCAGAACACCCCCCCCCCAGGGGCAGAGAGGGGACATCTATTGGACATATAAACCCTGGGCTCTGTGGCAAGGAAGACTGGGCCCAGAGAAAGGAAACCATGTAGGGAGTTCATGCAAGAGGCAGGCCTAGGGTGGAAGCACAGGGCCTTGGTGGAAAGGAGCCACATGTGTCCAGCTGTGAAGGGAGGGCTGGGCCGTGTTCACAGGCTCATGAGACAACACTCCTGTTTCCGGTCCCTAGGCCAGGAGGGTCTACACAAGGAGACAAAGTCCTGTGTGCCACCCTGAGAATCCAAACTTGCACACTAAGGGTTTTCTGCATCCTGCTGAATCCATTACCCACGTCTCACATGCAGATTTCTCCACAAACCGCTGCCTTGACCCGTCCATCAGCCCTTCCTCCGGCTCTGTGCCACTGGCAGGATCCCGGGGCTCCTGCTGGGCATTCCACTGGCATAGACGACTTCAATGGTTCTCTATGCTGGAGGCTACCTACCTACCTACCTACCTACCTACCTACCTACCTACCTACCTACCTACCTATCTAGTTGTGGGGCGAATCACAGGTTCCCAGGATGTGACAAGATACTGGGGAAAGGCAGGCAGCGGCCTATTTTTTGTTTAAAAGCTGATCACAGGAGCTATCTGACTCAAGAACAGGAGAGGGCTACTGCCAGGGCTGTTTTCCAGTCAGAACCCCAGGGTTTGCGCCACCTCATCAACACATCCCACTCCCAGCCACCGGCATGCCCGCTCCACCCAGTGATACCAGACGGGCACGAGGAAGGCAGTGTGACCGGAGACAGGCAGGACTCTAGAACAGGTGCAGACGGCTGGCCCACTAAGAAAAGGCAGGGCTTCGTCCTTTCCCAGAAAACGTCTCAGAGACATCGATTGACCCTGTTTGTACCTTTCTCTTTCTCTTTAGCTTGAGAATAACAAGTAAAAGCAAGGAGTCGGGGCTTTGCGATGTCCCCAGGTCCAGCGTCTGCTTCTCCAGCTGTGGCCACATCAGGCCTGCGCACGACCACTCTGAGCTGGGGAAGGATCTGTGCTGCTCTCCACCCCCAGACTACAACTCCGTGGTGTTGTACTCCTGCCCGCCCGCCTAACGCTTCACACAAGCCACCGACAAACAGCCCGACAGTATTATGCATATATGAGTTTACACTTATCTCTCTCCACAGGAGCCGGCTGCTTTTTGTGACTTAATAGTGCTTTGTTGTTGTTGTTGCTGTTGTTTGACTAACAAGAATGTAACCCCAGATAGTGACAAGTGAGGAACACTATTGCTCAATCCTCATGGGACTCCGTGTAAGAGAAATCCTAAGCCCAATGACTCACCTGCTCCTGCCCCCAAAGCCTCAGGGCCCCCTGGACGGGCATCTGCTGGCCATGGCACCCGGCATGGGTCCTTGTGCCCATCTACCCTCCCTGCAGCTGTGGGGGCAGGCACAGTAGGGCCCCTAGCTCGCAGCAGCATGCACCGGCCTGCTCTGTGTCTCTGGAGTCCTCTAGCAGGCATTATGACACTTATGGAGGCGAGGAAGAGAGAACAAGAGGGACGGGAAAAGGCCTTGGGATGTGTCTTGTGGAGACGGTGGAGGAGAGGGCTCCTCAATGCCACGTCATTGGTTTCTCATTCCTGGCCTCTGCATTTTGGGCACTCTACCAAGAGGTGACAGGGCCGAATGTATGGGACATTTTCTAGATGTTTTCAGGAACCACAGGACATCTTACATTGTCCCCTGGGAGTCTGTTTCTGTTGTCCATTACCATCCACAGCATGTTTAACGCACATCAGTGAGGGTGGCACTTGGCTCTCAAGTCATACTTACCGTTAGTTCTTCTAGTGAGATGCACTGAGATCTGACCCAAGCTTGGAGGCCTCAATTTAGCCTATTGCTCACAGGGAGCTGAGCGGTCCAGTTTGGCCTAGCAAGGTTGTCCACCAATAGACTCAAAAGCCACATTTTAAACAGTCAGGTTCTATTTCAAGTATTAATGTAGAGATAGGAAAGACACTTTCTATAAACATCATCCTGTTTATACAGTTAGCTATTCAAGGAAGCTGGGGAGAGTTAAGAGAGTCTAGAAGATGGTTTTCTCTGTACCCAAACCAGGATTAATGGACTCGAACCCAGAAAGACAGAGTAAAAGCTCCATGTATAATAGCCAAACCAATTACACCCACAGAGCTGGAACCTCAGTTTTCTTTTTACTTTATCATCTGTTTCACCGCCTCAAGCCAATCTGAGACGAGCAAAAGAGCATTAGCCGATGTTTATTAAGCACTTTATGCTCCTTGGAAGAAGAGGCGACGTGTGGTTTGTGAAGCTATTTCCACAGCTGGGACTCAGGCTATTGGTCAATGAGCCATCAAAAGGAAAAAAAATAATCCTATTTTCATCTGTTTCAGACCCTACCTGGGGGTCTAAGGATGATGGGGACAGGGTAGAAATGGGGAGACAGGGTAGAAAAGGATGCCTCCTCTTTGGGGTCTAGAGATTTTAAGCCCTGGATCTCTAGAATTGGCTCTGTTAAATGTTGTATGTGCAAATTATGGTCTGTGTGTTTAGGACGTGTGCACCTGCTGACGCCAGTCACAGCGGGGCAGACATGAGTGGTTGCCTTGTGAGAGCAGACCACGCTTCCTTTATGCCACTTAATTCTATGGCCTGACCAATGGCATGTCTGCCCACGTCCCTGGGCACCACATTCTTGACGTTCTCTGTCTGACGAGACCGGAGGCGCGGCACAATCCCCAGTGAGACAGTGAGCAGCCACGGTGACTCTTGGGGTACTCGCTGGCCAGGACAGAGAAGTAGGAAAGGGCTTTCAACCAGGAACTGGGTAAAGAGAAATCAGGCAGGGCTGGGGGAAGACATCCTTGTGTATCGGCAAAAGCTCGTGTCAGCTGGCGAGTGTCTAAGTCAGGCCATCAGACAGGCTGCCAGAGAAATGAGTGATGTCAGCATTTTCAAATCATTCAGACATTCAGCCATCAGTGAAAGGAGAAAACCTTAGCCAGTCCTGTACTATTTTGATTTTAATCATCTAATTCTTAATCAGTAAGAGACTTTGGCAAGGTCCCTTCTCCCACAAAAGTAAAGAAAATCTATTGGGATTCTCTGGCTCTGCTTGAGGACTTAGCTTTGGAGTCCATGGAAGTCCATCAGTGAAGAGAAAGGAAGAAGACAGATCACCCGAGTTTTTAAGGCAGGAAGACAAACGGCGACGTGTGGTGACACACATACCTAGCTGCAGTGTGCCCGTTCGGATGTTGGGACTCGGACAGTGACGTAAGGCCATTTGCCACTTGAGGCCAAAGTGGCCGGCACAAAGAACGAACAAACATTTCTCCTAGTGTTTGAGATTACCAATGTGTAACCAGGGAGCTGAAACCTCAGGCAGGTCTAGGTTAACCTGAGAGAGATCCCCAGGGGACAGAGCTGTTCAAACCCTGAAACCTGCTGCACAGGCCAGAGTGCCTTGCTCCCCTGCCTATCAATCAGCTCAGTCAAGGAAGAGGGCATCTTTTGACCGACAGTGGTAGGAACTGTACCTGTATGTGTGTGTGTGTGTGTGTCTGTATGTTTTGTGCATAACTATTTAAAGAAACTGGAATTTTAAAGTTACTTTTATATAAATCAAGATGGTATGCCAGAGACAGAACTAAGCCATGATCTGGTCCCACCTTTTAGTCATGATGAATGTATTTCGTATATTATCTTCATTTAATAAAACTCACTTTCAAAACCAAGTATTTTCTTCCTCTCCTTGTAAGAGAGGGAAAAAGGAATGCTGGGTGTGCCTCGGGGTGGGTGGGGTGACAGAGTGCTGGTCCAGCTCACGAAGTATCAGTTATCAAGCAGGACGCAAAGATGATTAAAGCAAGCACGACTGGAGCAGGGGCATGCGGCAGACCCCCCACTGGTCCCACACAGTGGCGGCCTAGGCCACAAGGAAAGGAAAATTCACAGAAGGCAGTGCATTGAGATTCTCTAGGAACAGAACCAACAGAATGAAACTATGCACATTTGAAGGTGACTCATGAGGGAGTCGAGGGGCGCAGTGGTCGACCTCGGCGCTTGCTGTTCTCAGGAAATGAGGTCAATTAACTCGGCGGCCAAGGGAAGGTTAGGCAAGCAGAGGATGAATAATCTTCCTTTTTCCGAGTGCTTTCTACCTGGGCGGCTACCAGGTGCCACGACAAGTGGGGTGGGCCTTCCCAGGTTAGTTAATACAGCCAAGATAATTCAACTAAGGCTCAGGTGATTCTAATTTGTGGCAAGTTGATTATTTAAAGCTAACCACCACAGACAGCTTGCCCTGAAATAGCAAAATGAGTGAGATCACGAACCAATAAGTCTCAGAGGGACTGCTGGCTGCCTACGAAGAGCAAACGGTTAAAAGCAGGCATCTCCCCTAAATGCTCATTTTCAACTGATAAACAAATACACAATTACAAAAACACGTGTGTATTGTGAGCACACATAGATGAGAGGGTACACGTGGCCAACAACAAATGGGCAAAAAAGCACAAAACACAAGAAATTCCCCAAGAAAAGTGCTACACCTTAGATGTCTCCAATCGGCCCTATGGATTACATCCTGGAAGAGACATTCAGGCACTAGATATAAACTGGCTATTCGTGTATCGGGCTGATAATACCCTGGGGAACTAGCCTGGAGAAACACAAGGCAGGAACTAGACAAACATTCTTGGGTACAAACGCAAGACAAAAGAATAAATGACCAATCTCAGTAAACTTGAGAGGTATTTATTTAGTCTTCAAGAATCTGAAATATTTTTAAAACACTGGGTTTTGAGCAGACATGGGAGCTGGCTGCCTTGGGTTGGGGGGGGGAGGCTAGTTTTCATAACTAAGTCACTCATTTGGGAAATGATTTGAAGAATGCTTCAGGAACCAGCTTCGTGTCAGCAAACAGATATTTTCTCATGACTCTGGAAATTGACAGGACATCTGAGAATTCTTTTCTTCAGCATCTGGGTGACCTAGTAAATGTTTCCTAGACTCTGCAGAGTAAAACACATCTCCAGATTTGGGGCTTTCATAGGTCAGGAATGCCGAAAAAGCATGCTGGGTCCCAGCACAGGGATGGCTGGTTCTAGTTCTAAAGGACGACCAGAAGCCCGCCCCGCCCTTCCCTTCCAAGGTCACACAAACGCCCTCATCTTGCTCTAGCATCTTGCTCTAGCATCGTGGTTGCACACCTCCCTGGTCTGGAGTATCTGTGTCACAGTCCTCGTCAGTAGCCTTTTCCCTGGGGTCATGGGCCAAAACAAAGGTCCACAGGTGGAATACTCGGCCTTCCTTAGAAACTTTCCAAGTTCTCATGTCACCCCGTCCTGGCAGCACACATCTCCTAGTGCATCCTACACTCCTGCCCTTTCCTTCCCGTGGGGCTGGCGACTCCACTGCCTTCAAGCCCTCCCTCAGCACGGGCTTCAAGAGCCCTCTGTCCGGGCCACCTTCTGAAACCGCACCACCACATCCAGAGGGGCAAACATGGCCAGGGAAATGAGAATTACACACAAGAGGATTTCCCTGGTATTAATGTTCCCTACGCCAGAGGCTTATGCTAAAAAAATTATGCTATCTGGTATTTAGATTTGACTCTTTATTTGCTAAATCTGGTAACTGCTGGTTCTCCTCTCCTAACCATAACTACCTTCTAAACACCACATACAGTTGTCAGTATGCAAGTCCCCCCTCATCCCAACCAAACCCCAAGATGCTGTCTTTTCAACAGTGGACTGCATTCTCTCATGTATGGCTTAGAGCATGTCTACCAGATTTGTAGTAATTAACTCGGTGTAAATACAACTGAAATAACTGTCCCTGGAATGGCAAGAAACAGCTGGAAGCTCCACACACCAGCACAGTATCTTCCTTTGGCTCTGAGAACTACACCCGACATAAAATGACAGTCAATGAGTATCTGATGAGTGACTCCCAGTTCACTCCTCTGTGGCACTGACAGGTGAGCCTCTTGGCCAGGTCCACAGAGGGCTTCAAGTGCTCAGCAGCGGGGCCAATTCTTCCAGTACTTCCGCTGGGTCTTGTTGCAGGCAGCTGGAGTTTTACCCACCTTGTCACACTGCTGTTAGGAAGACCTAAAGGCATAGGTTTCAAAATCAACCTTTCTCCTTCTGCCTCTGCCGTCTATGTGGAGGGAGATTTCACAAGGGCTCCTGTGGGTTACAAGTGGAAGAACAGTCCACTCACTGCCTCAAGAGATGGGATCAAGAGCTGGCTGCACCATTGTCGGAGTTCACCGAATCCGACACTGGCCTGGCTTTAACAACATCTTACCCTACAAACCCGACAAACCGGTCTTCATTTGATTCCTACCCACAAATGTTTCTCTACAGAAGCCCCCTGCCCCCTTGACAAGCCGTCTGCCCGTCTCCACTGCAATCTCCTCTCCTTGTTGCTCGGCCGTCCTCCCCCGAAGCCTGCAGACTCACCTCTTCAGATCACAGAAATTTCAATCGTACAGCAAGAAAAAACCCCACAATAAAGTACCACTTACGCTCAACAAATGCTAACGTTTTTGCAAAATTTATCCTTGTGGAATGTTTCTGGAGAAACTGGCAGTCTCTCCTCCATGTGGCAAATGACCCCAAGACACACTTAGCCAGAGGGTGCAGCTGAGTAGAAGCATCACAGCTAGCTCTTGTGAGGACCCGGGGTGCCTCCCCAAAGGGTGAGGGGACTAGCTCATGCCACTCCCCGTCCTGTCAGGTGAATGGTTTCTCAAACATGCCTACACAGCAAGCCCTCAGATCTGCACGCCTTAGTCCCACACAGACAGACCGGCACAGGAGACACACAAGTAAGTGGTGAGCCACCGATCAAGCCTGCTGCCCTCTCACCCCAAGGAAGAAGTTCTTCGAAACACATAGGTAGGAATCGTCAAAACCCAATCAAGACCAACAGCACTGTGTTGTTGTATGAACTGGTAAAAATCATATCAGAACAAAGACAAGTTTATCTCTGCAATTCTTTATTAAAAAATACTGCTATACACATAGAGACTGAGAACAGGGTTAAAGATGAGCAACAGAGACTGGGACTGTGACGTTAGAACTTAACATACTGGTGCTTTTTAGGGACAATGTTGATATCCAAATGACAGAACCAAGGTCAAAGCAAAGTTCAAGGGCACCCTCAAAGGCATCTGCAGAGAAGTAAATACCAACAGGTTTAGAAGAGGCACAGACAGCTGAAATGAGAGACACTACATGATTTCCAGGTTGTCCTTTCCGTGCTCTGTCTGTCTTACCAGGAAGTTACGGGGAGTTCACATCCTTAATTCGACACTCTCAGATAGTAAAGGCTTCCTATGGACTAAATATTAACTTTCAGACAACCTCCTAAATGGGTTTACATTGTGGAAAAGAGGGCTCCCTTAAAAAAAAAATGAAAACAAAAAAATAAAAACAAAAACCCTCTGCCCAAAAAACACCAAAGCAGAACTCAGAGTTCTTTTGAAACCATTCCCAATAAAAATGAAATGAAAAATAAATATAAAATAAAGCTAAAAAAATATGCATTACCTGACACCAACTGTTTTCTGGCTGACAATATTTACTCATGAAAACGTTCAGCTGACTCCCTTAACTACCCACACCAAGCCCTGAGGTTCCTAGGGGCTGAAGCAAACTGGCGTTTCCGATGTAGACATTGGGTTTGTGATGTGAACCTGCCCTGCAGAGGGAAGTTGCTGGTCTATGCGGATCAAGAGGTTCAAGCCCTAATGTACCCCTGCCCTTCTTTAGCATTCACATAACATTGGTCCACAAATGAAAATCTTCAAAAAGTTCCCAGGCCCCCAAAACTAAAATAGATGATCCCCTTTCATTTTCAAAGAAAACAATATTGGAAAAATCTCCAGCCCGCTTATAAATTAAGCATTTCATATTTCTTCTAGAATACAAGTAGTTCTTTTTTGTACAAAAGAATTACAATATGATTTGTCAAAAAACATATAAAAAGACAGCTGCTCTTCCTCAAATACATGAGCTAATGATAAAGACTTTTGCGTGTTACATCAAAAGTTCTTGTTACTCTTAAATAAAAGGTCCTTTTAAACAAAAGGACCATCATGGTGGCAAATGTTCATTATCCTTCGAATAGTGAACATCATGTTCTTTTAAATCCATCCAGATCAAATGCAGCCATTGATTTTCCATTGACAACTGATGCGACCACTCGTGGATGCAGACATGCTTGTTAGACATGTGACCTGTGTCTCTAGTCAAAGCTTTTCGGTGAAGAGAGGTGCTTTTTCTTGATGCAAATCTCAAGGCAGAGAAAAATCATTTTAAAGCTTATAAAAAGTGGACAGAGAAATGTTAAAAACTTCTCTGAAATATACAAATACGTATGCTTGTTAAAAATGAAGACAGTAACGTCAGCTGCAGGTGTTTGGGAGTCTGTCTTGACCTTCTGAGTCTCTCCATTCTCTTCCTAGTCACGAGGCGCACACCCAGCACCAACTGAACACTCAGCTCTGAGAAGGAGATGAAGTCTTCATGGCGGCCTTAGGAGAAAATCCCTATGTATTTGGCAGTCTTCGGTATCCAAGTGACCAGAAATCCCACAAATACTTGAGGAGTTTGGCGACAATGGTATGTCAAATAAGAAGCGTTCCAAGGAGGCAGGCACACTGCGAACTTTGAGAGGGCTCTCAGGACGGTCCTGCAGTCACTTTGGGTTAAGCAGAGAGTGCAAAGGCACAGCGGACAAGTGTCCCTCCAGAGTCGGACTGCCAAGCATCGACCACTGCTGCGCTCCTCTGCCCACCTCCTCCACAGTGTCTCTAAGTCTGTATCCAGTGTAAAGTACCATTATAAAGCTGTAGTTCAAAGACAAAAAAAGCAAACTGCAAAGACCTTAGAGTAATACAACTCCTCAACTTTAGGCCTTCAACACAATTTCATTTTTGCTATTAAAAATTGCATCAATGTAAGTGTATCTATCTGACTGGCAGGCTCCGAACGAACCTGGAGAAGAGCAGGGCCTGCTCCTTCAGCTACTGTTCCGATCGTTACCTGGAAAAGGATTTAAATCAACCAATAGGGGAAAATTCATATTCAACAACTCACTGATATTTCTCTTTGTGTGTTCTTAAACACGACACAAGCTTCAATTTGAGCTAATGGTAGGTGGCACACAGAGCTTGCATACGATACTCTTAAGGACTATGCACTACACTGTACTATTGACCTGGCCCGTCCCCCAAAAGCAAATTCTGCATCTCTTGGTGGCAAAAAGCTGCCTCTTTTTGTTTCCCAATGTCCTTGCAAATAGTTCCCTTAATAAGTATACAATGTGGCAAGAGGTCAAAGATCAGAAAAAAGTCTTTAAAAAATTAAAATTAGTGCATACACAAGTGGAAAACAGAAGCAGGAGCATCATTCACTGACATAAACTCTTCACAGAGGCCTGTGGCAGCCAGAGTGCGTAGAAAGTGAGACATTCTTCCTCTCAAGTAACAGTGCACCTGACCCAAGTGCAAGAAGCTCCACTCCTTCCTTCCTTCCTGCTCATCACCCTGGTGGCAGGAGACAGCGACAGGTCACCGTAGTGCAACTGGCTATAGGCTCAGTCCTTCACCATGCCCTGTGGACACTTTCAGCAAATACTACAACTGACCATTTGCAGCCGCAATCAGTTCCTGAAAGGTATTTTCAAAGCAGCGTTTTAGGTCACTGTACGTCACCACCAGCACGCTCTTCTCATCCCTGGAAATCAGGCTTATTTTCTCTGGCACACCAGCATCTAGCTGAAAGAAGTAAAGTATAAAAAAATATGTCGTTCATATCTCGAGGAAAAGAGCTGATTTAACCCATTTAAGGACAACACTTTCGACAACGGTCACAGTCCCTTTCAGATTTCCATAAAATTTCAATCAATTTTTCCCCCCAAAGAAACATTACCATGTTTCTCCTGCCTGCCTTACTGTCTAAAACATGTTTGATTACTATCTTCTGGTCAACTTGGCACTCTTTAGTTATTTACCCAATAGTTTCCATTTTGTATATTACGAATACCAGTGCAAAACAGAAAGGATTAAGTATGTAGTTTTAGGAGAAATACACAGAAGTACTATGGTATCCACAGCCTAACTGTACTCGAGAGAATGTCAACTAGAAGTCACCAATGAGTAGTTTGTGTCCACTCAGTCCCTTACTCTCTTGCCATTTTATTTTGTACAGCGTCTCTGTTTCTGTGGCTTCCTCTATGGGCGTCCACTCCAGCTCCTGGGGTTTAGCAGGAGTGTTTAGGACACAGTTCCCACTGCAGTTTTAGCTGCTTCCTTCAGTGTCCCACCAACCGACTCTCTGAAACAGGTTTACATTCCACTGGAGGCTTAAAACTGTCAAAATGTTTTACCAACAATTTCTGTCAATTATTCCCATCAAAACGACCTTTCGCAGAATCTTAGATATTAATCAATATGGTCTCCCTTAGATATTAATCAATATGGTATTCCTCAAACTTGGAAAACTGACACCCCAGATTTGGAGTATGTTTTATTTACTACCGTACGATAAGGCTTAGTACAGTCACTGTCAGTATCTACACACTCCTAACACAGTTCTACCTACTATGTGCTGACATCCGCAATACTAGGCTATGACGTGTTAGCGCATGTTCTACTTACTGCTCCCCAAGTGTCCCCCCTTTAAGAAGTTACGGAGGATGAGCATGGGAGCAGCACCCACCAGAGCAGCGGCAGGCAGCCCTGTGCTGTGGACAGCACTCTCAGAACCGTCTATAGAACTCAGACAAGGGCAAAGCTGCACCTGGCAGCACAGGCTTCCCTGCAGGGCTACCGAGCATGGTTTTCTCTGGACATTCTCTCTCTGCTACTTGAAATGGAGGGACGGGCAGGGCAGGGCAGGGCAGGGCAGGAAGGATTTCCAGAGTTGAGGGGTGAGACACATATACTCTAGGTCACTCATATATAAAGACAGTCTTTGCTCCATCTCTTTTTTCCTCTTTCTACTTTGTAAAAACAAAGAAGGGAAAAAGGCCATGGACGGATACGGCCCCGACCACTGTTTGGTCAGCACCTGATTTACCCACAGCTGTATACGAAGACGATGATTTACTCCCGAACACACCTCCTCTCTCTCATGCATGTGTCCCACGGTGGGTACAGGTTGTGGAGGTCAGAGGACAACTTGTCAGTCTTTCTCCCCCCTACCCCCGCGTAAGAGACAGGGTCTCTTTGACCGTATGCACACATGTGCCTACACATATGCAAACACACACCCATGCAAGCAGTCACACGGTACACAGTTTTCCCTACTCATTGTCCTCAATGAAACAAATGACATGTCAACGAAGTATAAAGGAGGAACACAGTCCTTTTGTGATGCTTTATCCAAGTAAAAGATTGAAAACACCTGTGGGTCAGGACCCCATTGAGGGGGTTGGCTGGCCTTTTCAAAGGGCTCTCATATCATGTATGATGATTCTTAACAGCAGGATATTACAGTTATGAAGTAGCAATGAAAATCATTTTATGGTTGGGGGCCACCACAACATGAGGCACTGTATTAAAGAGTTGCAGCGTCAGGAAGGTTGAGAACCACTGCCCTAGACGATCCTGCTTTTGCTTCTTGAGTGTTGGGACTCAAGGTGTAAGCTGCCACACTTAGTCAAAAAAAACAATCTCACTGTCGGGCTGGAGAGACGGCTCAGAGGTTAAGAGCACTGACTGCTTTCCAAAGGTCCTGAGTTCAATTCCCAGCAATCACATGGTGGCTCACAACCATCTGTAATGAGATCTGGTGCCCTCTTCTGGCCTGTCTCAAAAAACCGAAGGAAAAAACTGTATACATAATAATAAAAAAAAAAAAAAAAAAAAAAGGGGGGGGGGTGGGGAAAGAAAGAAAATGGCCTGTCTTAAATTCCTCACAAAGTACAGCAGGAATACATCCTGTTTTCTTCAGTCTCCTAGTACTTGTCCACACTACAACTCTACCAAGTTGTAACAACTGTGCTTGCTGTAAATGTGCTTGCCTCCAAGCCTGACACACCTGCACAAAGGAGAAAATGAGCTCCAAAGTGTCCTCTGACCCTGTGTGTGCACGAGGCATGCATACGCACACACGCACCCATGCATGCATGCATGCACGCACACACGCTCATTGATGTAACAAAAAAACTATTAAAAACTACTGGTTTTCCTTACAAATTACCTTGTTGAGACAGGAAATGATGTGACTGAGGTCAATCCAGGGAGCACCTGCTTCTGTGACCTGATGAAAAAGATGATCCCTAAAGAGTTTCAGCAGATAACGATCTCCAGTCTCTGACCAAGTCGGATCCTTCTGAAACCTGGGGAGTTAGTATTTGATCTCAGTATCTCACTCTCCATGCATATGGTCTTATTTTTCAGATTCAAGATTAACCCCACTTTCCCCAGTAAATAAGAAATTAGACAGCTTCTGTAAAGTGCTTAAAAACCAACCAACCAACCTCAACCAACACAAAATACATAAATCACACTTTTCATCATTCAGTTCCCAGGAACAACTACCCCTTCTATACCACTCAATCTTTACAATTAGGTAAAAAGGCAAAAGAAGAAATGTCTGTAAACATCTCTGGCCAAGCATGTAAGGAAATCTTCTCTCCATCCATGCTCCAGGTCACGGAGACATCAGCTAAGTTTCCACTTTACCAAAGAACATAAACTGGGAAATGTTTAGAAAGAGGAAAGGCTGCTTCCTGTCCTTCACACTCCACTAGAAGGTGAGCTGTGAGCACTGGAGAACCAGAGACGGCTTGTAGTTCTCCGCACCCTGAGGCAGGGCCTGCCCTGCTTTCTGTTTCCTCTCCACAGTGCTCTGACAGACAGGGCTCACACATGAACCGCCCTGGGAGGAGGGGCTGAGCTGCTGCCCCAACGCAGGCGTGCTCTGCAGTCCGCAGACTAAGAAGGCCAGTGCACTGGACGGGGCGGGCGGGGCGGAGGGCGGGCGGGCAGCACTGCCGGGCTGGGGAAACGTGACAAGCGTTCTAGAACTCTGCCCTTCACCCCACTCAGTCATGATGAACCAAGTTTCATCAACTTGGCCACACATATGCACATCTACAGAGGAAAAGCCCAAGCACAGAGATGATTAGCTCCTGAACAGACAACCTAGAGCAGGCAAGGATCCGACAGCACAATCAACATCGATCACAGACAGAAAAAGATCCTCAGATAGGCTCCTTAAAGAGCAAGTCCCAAGCAAAACGGTACTGAAGTTCACCTTCTTACTCATTAAGCTGACAAAAACCCCACGTTTTAAAGAAAGCATTGTCAAACTGGTGTGGGGAAGATGGCGGCGAGCGGTACTTCACAAGCTAGTGGCTAGGAGGAGAAGAAAGGTGTTGATGAGTCCAGTAGAGAGATAGTTTGGATCGACAGGACCACAACCATTAGCAGGAGGCGGACGGACCCAGCGGCGGCTGGCGGGGACGTGCAGGCCCGGCGGCGGAGACCAGCAGGTAGGCATGTGGCGGTGGACCGCGGAGGCGGACAGGCCCGGGGAAGGAGACGGGCAGACGCGGCTTGGAACGGGGACGCCCCTGGCTCCAACGCCTGGGGAGGAGGCTGTCTCTGTGGGTCGGAGCCGGAGCGAATCTGAACACTCTGAGGAAAACCCAGGGTCCAACTGCTGATCCTGTGAAACCCAACAACTTGGAGGTGTTGGTGAGACTACCCTGCTCAGCTGAAACCCATCTGGGAGAGGATTCAGATGCCTACAGTTTGAAGTCTAAAGAAACATGATCAGCTGAGGAGTCGACAAATGAACAAAACGTGACCTGGGAACACAGAAGAAGGCGCTACCCAGCCACCAAACCAGATC